TAAAAGGATGACCCTATATATATATGAATTGTTTGCATTTTTTTTTTGCTGAAAGTGAGATGCCAGATTTTTTTTAATTTTTTAGTTTTTGGTTTTCAATTCTTTAACTTCCACGTTCCAACTGTCTACTGAAGATGATTCACCTTATTCTTCACTCCAGATGTTAAAGTAGTATATTGCTATTTTTTTGAAATATTTTTATGATTTGATTTTGCTTCAAGCATGCAAAAGCAAACACTACACTGAATGATCTAGATATTGTGACAAATTATTCATCATATTCAAATCAAGTTAAATTTTTAGAGCATGTATGAAAAGACATTTATGACACTTTCTATGGATTTGATTTTAAAATGTTGAAGTAGTGTTTTTAATGAGTGGTCATTGCAATTTCTTTATTTATTCATATACATAACGACACTGTATTGTATGTCTTCTTTTATTGGCATAAAAATTGATGTCTTATTATTTGAAATGACATTTGTTGCCAGTGAAGGATAACTGTTTTTTTTTTCCCCTGTTCTTTTGTAGGTTGCAGAGAAGTACAAAGTTAGTCATCCCAGCAGCTTTCACTACTTGAATCAAAGTAAGACATATGAGTTAGATGGAATCAGCAGTGCACACGAGTATTTAAAAACAAGAAGGGCGATGGATATAGTTGGCATAAGTCCTGATGATCAGGTGATTTAATTCAAGTTTTGTTTTATTTTTTTATACTATAGCTCCTTATAGTAAGCCTTTTTCCTCTTCTAGATTATTTTAACATATTGAGTTGCTTTTTGTTATTATAGGAAGCAGTATTTCGTACCCTAGCTGGGATTCTTCATCTTGGAAATATTGAGTTTTTTCCTGGAAATGAGCACGATTCTTCAACAATGAAAGACACAGTTTCAAAATTTCACCTTGAGATGGCAGCTCAGTTATTCATGTGTGTGGCTTTATCATGATTCCTTATAACCTTATGACATGTTTTGAGATTGTTTTCTGATGAGTCTTTCGTTTCTTTCTATAGTTTGATGGCAATGTTAAACTATATGGTGATGTTCATAAATATTTGATTTTCCTTTTGTGTTTGTAAAAACCTGCTCTTTTTTGGTAGAGTGTAATGCTAAGCAGTGATGAGAATATAATGGATAAATGAGGTTTATAATTAGGCTGATTTCCTTGGTGCTTTATTATTTTTGTTAGATGTTCATATTGAGATGTTTCTTATAATGATTATAATAGTTTACACGATTGTAGGATTTTATTGAGCTAAACTGGTTTGTTTTTCCTTCTGGCATAATTAGTGTTTCGGTTAAGTTTGAGTTGGCATGGGTTCCTTTTTCAAGGACTTTTTGAATGTAATTGCAAGTTGATTGCAGGAACATGGCCTATCCAGTTTATTGAACATGCGACATGGCATTGCATTTTACTTTATTTACTATAGATGTTGTGCGACCTTGGGAACCATAGATTTATGTCTAGTAAGGATATTTGGATTCCACCGATTGATAGTATTGAAGAAAATCATGATCCCATTGATCCATGCAAGGAAGGAGAATCAGAATCACAGAGATTAAGTATTATTATATTTAGGAATATTAGATTTTTTAATAGTTTATGTTGACATTGTTTTGTAGATTTAGGTATTTTATCTTCTTCATGTGGCTTAACCATCATTGTTCACATTTACGTGATAACAATCTTGTTGTATTTTTCTACTCCAGGCCTTCGTTGTCATTGCACATCCTTCAAAGTAGATTCCTGCTCTTGTGCTTCATAATTGCTGCTCGATGAATCCCTCAATTTCAACATGTCTACCTGTAGCATTATGGGGTCATCTTTATATCAGTTGTCTTTGATGATCCCTAAGAAATTTCTTTCTTTATTTTCGCCCAAGCTTGATTATATCTTTGCTTTATCATTTTCATGTCTTCTGCATTGTGTTGTCGTGCCCTTGTTTTAACCTTTAAATTTGTTGTTGATGTTTTCATTCCTTTGCTCATGATCTTTTACTTGTTGGCATCAACCTTTAGTCTTTATTTGCTCCAGTTACGACCCTTGGGTTATAAAACTCCTTCCGCCAAGCTTTCTTCTCCTTGGTGGTGTCTTGGCTCTTTCATGGCCGTCAAGTGTTTTTGGCTTTGAAGGTTGTAGCTCCAATGAAAGGAAGACACAATGTGACAGAGATGCTTTGACTAAGAAGATTAGATAACAACTAAAAGAGTTCACAATAATCGAGGTCGTAAGAACTTCAAGGTAAGGAAGAAGATGAAAATAACTCTTGCAATAAAGAAAGTTTTAGCTTTTAGGAATAGAAATTTTATGCTTTTTCTAATAGAACAAGCCTACGATAGTGACGGACAGTAAAAGGATGACCCGATAATAAAGGAATTGAAAGCCTTGAATGTTTGATAGAATCCCTTGAGAAAAAAATCATTTGTCGCATGGTCACTAGCATTCTCTGGCAGTCTACACATTTTTTTTTAGATTTCATGTGTCAAAAAAGAGTTGGCTAACCCTAAGGTAATTTACTTGAGTGCCTTAGATCACATGATTCACACTTGTAAATGTTTTAGCTCTTTTACTCCATGCCGTTGAACTAAATTCATGGTTGCAAATGGTTCTACAATCATATGTTTGAGTGATATCCCTTTAAAATTATTTTTCATGTTTCAAATTATCAGCTAATCTTATTTCAATTTGAAAGCATGTAGCAGATCCAAGGTACAATGTGATTTCCTTATTGTATTTTTTGAGGTCCATGATTCGTGGAGGAACATTAAAGTTGCTATGGGATGATTTCTGCTATCTTGAAACATTATGATATCAGAGTTAACCCAAACCACAATGATATAAGCAAATATTATTAAGCAAAGTAACTAGGGTTACAATTAAGACTCACACGACAACGAAAATACAAGAAAACATCAATATTCGACTAGGGCCGAGTAGGAATATTCGTGGACTGCGGTGACGAGGCCTGGTGGTTGGCGGTTAAGCAGGGAAGAGATTGGGGTGGATGGGTGGAGATAGGGAATGTTGGGTGGCTGGCGGTTGTAGATAAGGAGAAGAGGAGGGGCTTGTGTTGTAGCTGGCTGAAGGCCGGGAGGAAGAAAGTGGTAGGATGATTGGTGGTTGGAAGCGGGGATGCAGGGAGCTTGTAGGGCGGGTGGCGGCTGGACGCAGGTAGACAGGGAGTTTGTTGGTGGGGTGGTGGCTGGGAGCAAGAAGGAAGGAGGATGACAGATGGCTTGCGGCTGGGAGCAGGAAGGGCAAGCCCCAACTGTAGGATAGTGGTCCGGAGAATGATCTTGTGGGGGAATTAGGCAGAGGTCTTCACCACCTCAGAGCAGGATATTGCCGGAGCACCATCTGTCATTGGATACAATCCTAGCTATGGAAAACACCTTGAGGCCAAAATCTGAAATGTGAAAAAACAAAATTGGAGTCAACTCAAACTCTAATAGAAAAGTAAAATATTATTACTGAAATTCAAATATGGACTTACAAATAACCAACTTGACTAGGAAATAACAACACTCATGAAACCATAAACAAAAAATAACAACAGATACGACATAAACATTTAATGAGGGTGGATCTCGTGGTGGCGGCGATGTTTGTTGAAGGTTTGGAAGGTGGCACAGGAGTAGAAAAGATGGTTGACAAGTAGAAAACAGTAAGACGGCTATTTCTCGGGTTCAAACAAGTAGATAGCTGGGGGCCGATGCTTGAGGGCTGTTCGGGTTGATAGCAGCAAGGGGGAAGGGTGGAAATGTCGGTGGCTGCAGCGAGGACGCAACAAAAAGCTGGCCGGTGGCCGACCGACAAGTGAACAACCAGTTGGGGATGTTGCAGGGAAGGTTGGGAAGGGCTGAAGCAGATGGGGAGGGCTATGTGGGCTGTTGGGAGGATGGAAACAAGATTGGCGGCTGGCTGGAGATGATAACAGTGAGGATGGAGGGCTCGAACAACGATTTGGGATGTGGTGGACTGTCGAAAAACCAAATGAAGCCAGTCCTGGACGGGTGCAATTAGGAAATTGTAGAAAAATAGCAAAAGGTCTGCTGCCGGGGCGGCTTGCAACGAGGAGGATGCGAGGCAGTGAAGCGAGAGGGACGCGTAGGGGTTAGGGGAAGATAATCACTACATCGATGAAGAGATACAACCGAAGCATCACCCAATCTCTTGGATACAACTCTCCAAGGGAGAAACGAATGTCGATGGCTGTCTTGACTGAAATGTAAAAAAAAAAAAAACTCAGCCTAAATGCATAAATCACTTATATATGCCCTAGATAACTAAGATGAGATTCTCCTATGGAAAGGTGGCCCCAAATCCACTTGGAAGGGCGGGTTGGCATCTCTCAGGTCTTGACTGGTTTGGTCCAAACGTGTAAAGTCATGGGGGCGGCTCCCTGTTATGCTATAGGAAGCCACAACGCTACCCCTTCGCACCAAACAAGCGAAACTACAGGCACGAGAGCCGCTCTCTGTGACACCGCGGGAAGCACACTCTCCTTCGCGCCTGCAACAGTCTCCCAGTGTTGAGGGCTTTGGCCTCATTTGTCGAAGTTTCTGTCTCCTTATAAAGTCAGGTTAGTCTCGTTGAAGGTACCAAAATGGGCATGATTCTGATAAGTTTGTCGTGTAAACACTGTCATTCCGCAACACACCTTGATCTCGTTGAAGGTACCAAAATGGGCATGATTCTGATAAGTTTGTCGTGTAAACACTGTCATTCCGCAACACACCTTGATACAATAAATATGCATCTATGTTAGCACATTTTGAGCTGGAGCTGCATATAGATGTAGGTTCTCGCAATGTAACTCTTGAGCCTATAAGTATGAAATGTTTTTCCACTTCTCATGCTTAGTGGCATGTAGTAGATAAACATGTATGTTAGATGAGATCAACTCCATGATGAAATCTGTGACAAGCTGCCCTACGATAACTAGCGAGCTCTCAAGAGGGACCTTTTCTTCTCTGATAGAACATGATCCCATTGAATAATATTCTTCCCCTTAAAGCTCCGGGACCTCTTCTTCTCTGATAGAACACGATCCCATTGAATAATATTCTTCCCCTTAAAGCTCCAAAGATAATTTTCAAATTCCTCTTATCTGGACATCTGCTAATATCCAAATAACTTCATAAATAACTTCATATAATCTTCCCGACGTGGCATAAAAGTTCCTAATTTCTTACATGCCGGATCTCCTTTAGTATGGGCAGTTGAGGAAGGAGTGTTTAGATATGAAGGGTCTGAAGTTCAGTTATCTGGTTTTGCCGGTTGTTTGGTTTCGATTCGTCGAACTAAGGACCATCTTGGACTAATGTGAATTATGTTGGAGTCTTCTTTTTGCCCTCAGTTGGAGCTATATGCTTTTCTTCCTCATCTGTTGGAATCTGATCCTTTTTCTTTGTGATCTCACATTCTTCAGTGTCAACTATGTCATGTCCCTTTTCAACATTAGCTCCTTGCTCAGCAAAATATAACACCTCCCTAGTTTTTCAATCTACTTTAATATGCCCAAATCAGTCGCATTTGGAACACTTCTCGGTTGGAATGGATTTGAGAATGCAGGTTTGTGCCCTCTGTTCTCCACTATGAACTAGTGTTTCTTTATGCAAGATCAGCTTGGATGTTCCTCTGGATTTACTCTAGTATTAAGATCCTAGGGTTGATTCCTACTGCAAAATGTGGTGGCCGTCCAACGATGTAGTCTCTTCACTTTTGAAGCTGGGGTCTGACCATCCGGTATGTAGCGAGCTGGTAGAAACTGACGCTCTCTTGTTTCATTTTGGACCAAGTCGTAATTTTGTCTTTTCCCTTATGCTGGCTTTGGGACTTCAAATTTAGCTACCTAACTAATGCATTCCTCCTTAGCTTGCTATCAGCTAGCTTTACCATTCGATCCGGTTGGACATTTTGCGCTCA